GCTGACTTCCACGCCGTTTTCTCTTCCGGACTTCTTTGGGTGAGTCTTCAAGCTTTCCTAGCTGTATAGACTGGATCCCACCTTCGTCGCCAGTGTTAAGTCCGGAGAATAATGGCGCTTGAGACGAAGCATTTCTAACAACTCTTTATTGTCTGCTTCCAATCTATGAACAACCCGAGCAGAGGCACGCAGGCCTCTATTTATACCTTCTGATCCCCGGACAAGTTCAACCAATCACAAGGCGGTCTTTTCCCGCCTTGCGCATGTGCGCAAGGCCGGCGCCACTCAGTCTGGTCCCGGGCAGCTTTTGCAAATGCCCGGGACTCTTGCAACATCCCGAGCCTGCTTTTGCAGGCTCAGGACACAACAACTTCCATGTGCAAAGTTTGCCAGCCGGGTGTTTTGGCGCTCTCAGCAGCAATTCCTATTGGCTTTTGAAAGCCAATAGCGAGAGTAGCACAGCTCATGCAAAAGTTGAAAAAAAAACATCAAAAAAAGGTGCCGGAACGCCGTTCTGAGCATTCTATGAGGAAGAAAAAGCCCTGCAGATTAGTCTTCAAATATCGAAAAGGAGGACATGTAGGAGGACACTTTTCAAGGGAGGACAGAACTTACAAAAGGAGGACTGTCCTCCCTAAAGGAGGACGGTTGGTCACCTTACTAATCAACTTCCTCTAAACTGAAAAGTAGAACATGGGCTTTGGAGATGTATAGGTCTGTTACCTGCTTTCTTGAAACTTGCGGCTTCTTAGGGTTTTGTTCAAGATTTTCATAGAAGTAGCACATTCAAGGGCCGGGTGAAATAAGGAAGGAAGGAAGGAAATTCCATGAAGATGACTTAGACGAACAATACTTCCATACAAGATAATCCTCATCTTCTAACCCTTTCTTTACTGACCGTTTGAAGTTACAGTGGCACTGAAAAAGGTGACTTATGACCAGTTTTCACACTTACGACCGTTGCAGTATCTCCGTGGTCATGTGATTAAAATTCAGGCACTTGGCAACTGGCATGTATGTATGACGGTTGCATTATCCTGGGGTCACGTGATTACCATTTGTGACTTTCCCAGCCAGCTTCTGACAAGCAAAGTCAGTGAGGGAAGCCAAATTCCCTTAACAACTGCATGAGTCACATAACTGCAGTGGTCCGCTTAACAACTATGGCAAAAAAAAAAAAAAGAGGGTGTAAAATGGGGCAAAACTCACTTAACAACTACCTTGCTTAGCAATGGACATTTGGGCTTCCATTGTGGCCATAAGTGGAGAACTACCTGTACTCTCACAAAGGGCAAGGAAATAATAAAGTGGTTTTTCCACCTGGTTTATGTTTAGGCCCGGATTGAATTTGACAGGATTTGTTTTTCTGAGCAAAGACACGGATCATTCCCCAGCATAATGTTCAAAATCACGTTCCTAAAAAGTTGCTGAGGCTGAGAAACAGTGCTCTACAGCAGGGGTAGTCAACCTTGGCTCTTTTATGACTCGTGGACTTCAACTCCCAGAATTCCTGAGCCAGCTAAGCTGGCTCAGGAATTCTGGGAGTTGAAGTCCACGAATCATAAAAGAGCCAAGGTTGACTACCCCTGCTCTACAGGAAAACTTTTGCTTTCCCATTGAAATAATGGCTGTGTTACTAAATAACTATGTTCCCTTTTCCCTGGTAAAACTTTTATCCAGGAGACATTTCTGGCATACCAGAGAAACAGTCTGCAGTTCTGTAGAGTCAAGCTATTCTTCTCTTGGCAGGCGTTTCTCTTGGCAGGCGTTTGACTGAGAGGGGGAGGAGGATGTTAGGCCTTGTGCTGCAAATTTCCTTCCTTCTCTTTTATGACCTGTAGCTCTTTGAAAGGAGGCACTGTGCTGCCTAACACCAGCCCTGTCCTTCCTTGGCAAAGCCCTCACTGAAGAACAGGAGGAATGTGCTGAGAATGGTCTTTTCAAACCCAGTCATTGCCTCTCAGCAATCCTTCAGGTGACTGTTTTTACCCCTAGATCTCTCTTCTGACTTGATCTTTACCGGATTTGCATTCTGGTATTGCTAAGTCAAGTCACCATCTAGGAAAGAGAACAGAGGGACTTGTGATAGTGTATGGCCACAGCTACTTGTTTGAAAACCTTCACAGGATCAGCTCCTACAGTAACAGACCAGTGGCCCATCTAGGCCAGCTTATTCCATCTTGTGACCAAAGGGTCTCTCTGGGAAGTCCACAGAAATAATAATTGTTTTTGATCTGAGAATGGCACCTGGGCTTTTTTGTGACTAATAGTCACTGATACCCTAACCCAGGGGTAGGCAACCTTGGCTCTTTTATGACTCGTGGACTTCAACTCCCAGAATTCCTGAGCCAGCCATGCTGAGGGGAAAGGGAGAGGTTTCCAAGCTGAGCCATGCTGGCTCAGGAATTCTGGGAGTTGAAGTCCACGAGTCATAAAAGAGCCAAGGTTGCCTACCCCTGCCCTAACCCTCCTTGACCAATTCTCTTATGAAGCCATCCAAGCTAGTAGAGGTCGTTGCATCTTGAGGCAGAAAAACCATAGTTGTTTAGGAGAACAGCCTTATATTGATCTGGAGTCTCCCATCTCTTAACTTTGCTAAGTTGTAACTTCACAAGAGTTTTAAAAAATGTCCCACATAATGTCATGCAAGGTTAATGCGTTACATACAACGCCTATGTTTGTATAATGCTGAGCCAGGATTTTTAATTATACAGGTACTCCTCAACTTACGACCACAATGGAGCCCAAATTTTATGTTGCTAAGTGAAAAATTTGTTATCTGAGTTTTGCCCCATTTTACAACTTTTCTTGCCACATTTGTTAAGTGAGTCACTGCAGTTGTTAAATTAGTAACACGGTTGTTAAGTGAATCTGGCTTCCCCCGTTGACTTTGCTTGTCAGAAGATTGCAAAAGGGGATCATGTGACATTGTAACCGTCATAAATGTGAGTCAATTGTCAAGCATCTGAATGTAAATCACATGACCATGGGGATGCTGCAACGGTCATAAGTGTGAAAAATGGTCATAAGTCACTTCTTTCAGTGCCGTTGTAACTTTGGTCACTAAGCGAACTGCTGTAATTCGAAGACTACCTGTAGTTTATTGCCTTAGTGCAGTAGCTCCCAACCTTTTTTATACTCCGCACCCTAGAACGCTTCTGATATATTCTTGCACCCCTTAAGTTCAAAAAAGTTCAAAATAACGGTAACGAATTATGCATATACACTATAATTTTGAAGCCTCTAAACCAGTGGTGGCGAACCTATGGCACGGGTGCCAGAGGCGGCACTCAGAGCCCTCTCTGTGGGCACGCGGGCCGTCGCCCCAGTCCTAGACCTTCAGCTGGGTTTTATAAAACCTTTTCGCTTTAGGCCTCCGCCGCCATGTTCAAAAAAAAAAAAAAGGTTCAATCAGTCAATTTCAACTTCTTGCGGGAAAAAAAAAAGATCTTGCAAAGTTGGAATTGATTGATTGAACTTTTTAGTCCCATCCAGTCTGCGGTTACCACCACAGCCACGTCCACCCAATGGGCCACACCCACCCGGCACTCGACGATGCAAAGTGGGTTTTGGGTTGCAGTTTGGGCACTCAGTCTCTAAAAGGTTCGCCATCACTGCTCTAAACCCAAGTTTTCGCACCCCCTAGGATATCGTCTCGCAAGCACCTCTGGTTGGGAACCCCTGCCTTAGTGGCTGATTCACATGAAAACCTAAGTTGTGGTGTGTAGGGTTTGAGTTAGCTAAACTCAGACTAAGCCAACCACAAGTTCCTTAAAGACATGCAAACGAGGGAGAAAAGTTGATTCCCAAGCTAGAAGCATTTTTGGTATTATTAGCTTCCTCTTCATAATTACTCAGTCTGTTCTCCTCCAGATATGCTAACCTGTCATTTCACCATAGAGATGATGGTTATGGAAGTCTAACATCTAAAGGGCACTAGGGTAGGAAAGTCACATCCAAAACTAGTGTTTGGTCTCCTCCTCTGTTTTCCAGTGCAGTTTTCTACTGATGAACATCGTGCATCTTTCAGCATTCGCATCCAACATCCACCTACTCCCAAGCTCTACTATCCAGGCTCATCCAGTGGTGGAGCTAGTGAAGGTGAGTGTGCCAGATGGATAGTAGCTGTCCCAAGATTTCATGTGGGAAGTATTCCCTGCTGGATCTCACCTGAGATTTGGAAAACATGAAGTTAAATGGTATTCTTGAATATCTGCAGGTGGAATCAGGTATGCTCATCCCTTTCTAAGTCCACTTTCTCCAGGGTTACGCTGTGGTCTTTTAAAACAGGACAAAAAAGAAATCAGAAAAACGAGGGGTCCTTTGTGCGCTCTGAGCTTGGTTGTTTTTTTGCAGAAGTTTCATTACCCAAATTAGGTAACATCACTGTTAGCACTGATGGTGTTACCTAGTTTGGTAGTGAAACGTCCCTGCAAAAAAAAAAAAAAACCCAAGCTCAGAGAGCACCAAGGACCCCTCATTTCAACCCTGAGCTACAAATATTCTCCTTTATTGAAATCAGAAAAGTGCCCAGAGAGGCCTGTCTTTACCCATTGCCATGTCAGGCACCCATTTGTAGGCACTTATTAGCAAATTGTGTAAGGTAAGGGATATTGTGTTTAGGATGAGAGTAATTTTTCCTCTCTAGAAGCCAGTCTAAACACTGCACTAGAGGAAGATTGTGGTGCCCTGATCTGCTGTTGGTGGAACAGTCTTTCCAGGAGCTAAGTGGCTTCTGGAGTATCCTTGCTATTGTTGTTATTCATCACTAACTATTAATTGCTTGAGTTTTGGTTATTTACGTATTTATTTATTATCAGGTTTTGGTGCTGCTCCAGTCAGAACATTCTAAGCAGCTTATGATCTGCCTGTTGTAATAAAGGTGGAATCATGAAAAGCATAAGGAACAGCAAAACTAACAGGGAAGAGTCAGTCTGACTTTCTTTTAGTCTGAAAAATAAACATGGTGAAGAAGAGTACAATTTTTGTTCATTTCTTAGACATCCTGCCAAATCCTTCTCCAGCTGAACCCTCTTGCTGACAATCCTGTTTTGTTTCTCCCAAGGAACCTACAACATCAGTGCCCTGGTCACCATAGCTACCAAAACCTTCATACGCTATGACAAACTGCGAGTGTTGATTGACAGCATCCGCAAGTTCTACCCCACTGTGAACATCATCATTGCAGATGATAGCCCGGACATCGAACATGTGCAGGGACCCCACATTGAGCAGTACTTCATGCCCTTTGGCAAGGTGGGAGACATGCTAGGGGAGTCCTCAGGCCTAGCCTAGGCCATCTTCTTAAAAATACTATAAGTTTGGGAAGGATTTAGTCCCAGAGGTTTGGTGAGTAAAGAAAGGGTTTGAGGAACCTCTGCTAAAAGGAGCTCACTCCGTTGGCCTTTTATGCTGGGAAACATTTCTATGATTTGAAATTTGTTGTCGTGGATTGAACAGGATTTCACTGGGGTTGATTTCTCAGGAGGTTCCTGAACATGAAGCATGGAAAACCTGACAATCACGTAACTAAAGAGATCCAGACCCCTGTGACTAGGATAAAAGTTGCCTTGTATTTGTAGGACAGAGACCAAGGCCGAACTCATTAAGACCATATTATGGAGTCCTTGGTTATTTTCTTGCATTATCCAACATCTTCATTGCTAGAAGGGGGCAGGACTCATATTGAATCAGGGTATGGGTAAAAGGAAGGTGATTGGTAGGAATCTCATGTGGGTTGCAGGAGTAAATCTGCAGCTCCATAGAAGATTATTTAGTTATTCAGTTGACGATGCCAGGATGAAATGGATGGTAGTAATCAGAGGGTTTTGAAAAGGTTGACAGACAGAACTCGGGATTATAAAGTCATTGTTAAGGCACTGGTGCCAAAGTTTGAGTTATGAAATGATAAGGTAGTAATTTTCAGTGCTTTGTGGCTAAGCAACAGGAGCAATCCAGTTATTTGGCAAAAGGATTGTCAGTAGCGATGCTCATAAATAGTCTTATTTTTCTTTTTCCTCTCCGTCCTTTCTTTCTAGGGCTGGTTTGCTGGTAGAAATCTTGCCATCTCCCAGGTGACCACCAAATATGTTCTGTGGGTGGATGACGACTTCATTTTCACACCCCGCACCAAAGTGGAAAAGCTGGTAGATGTCCTTGAGAAAACTTCCCTGGATTTGGTGAGTTCCTGCCCCGTGGTTGCTTTTGCTGGCTCTGGATCATTTATTTCACCATGCTGGCTGAGGAATTCTGGGAGTTAAAGTCCCACACATCATCAGGTTGCTGAGAAACAGTGGCCTACAGTGGTTACAGGTGGTTTTCTGGAATGAGGGGGATGCTTTGAGAAGCAGGTGTGAGGCTTTCAACAGATGTGGTAGATCTCATAGTTGGTAGAGAAATGTGGAGGCAGGCTTAGTCCATGGCTGTGATTTGAACATCTCTGTATCCCATAATATGAAGTCAATCAATTTTGACTACAATTGATAAAGAGACTAAAAAGAGAGACTCATTCCCTTCTAAATTTGCAAAAGTCTATCACACAATGGTTGCTTTTGGATGTAGTGTTATTTAAATCTCCAGTTCTTGATTCTGGCTTAATTTCTTCCAAGATTTAAATTTATTTAAATAAATCAAGATTTCAGTAAATCTGTTATAGCCACCTACTTCAGCAGACTCTAGGCGGCTTACAAAATCTAAGTTAAAATAACCAAAAACATAATGCAGTATGAAGACCTCAACCTTGTCCTGTTCGTCTCTTGGTTTTGGTTTCAGCATAGTTTTAAAATCCTAATCTGTGTAGTTTTAACGTTTGAATTATTTTTCACTTATTTTATAACTTATAAGCCACCCAGAGTCCCCTTACAGGGGAGATGGGTGGCATAAAAATGTAATAAATAAATAGACAAAGCAAAACAAAAATGGACATTAAAACAAAATTACAAGGATAAGAATAATGAAATAACCTCCCTTGAGAAACCATTTTTTTCTGCAGATAGAATCCCCTTCACATACACATAGAAGTCCACACCATCCATCCTCAACATTGTTGTTTGTTTTCTGCAGGTGGGTGGAGCAGTACGGGAGATTACAGGCTACCTCACCACCTACCGAAAACAGATCAGCGTGCAGCCTGGTGGTGAGGCTGGAGATTGCCTGCGAATCCGTCAGGGCTATCACCACATCATTGAAGGTTTCCCTGATTGTGTAGTCACTGATGGCGTGATCAACTTCTTCTTGGCACATACAGAGAAGGTGCTGCAAGTTGGCTTTGACCCTCGCTTCAACCGGGTTGCCCACCTTGGTGAGTGATTCTGCCAGCATGGGAGATCCTCAGCTTGGGACTCGTATCTAGAATAGAATATAGAATAGCCTTTGCTTCCTATATAGGAGATAATAAGATATAAACCAAACCACACAAACAATCCAAAGGGTGAACTTGGGTTTCCTTTGATGTTGTGGTCCAGTTTTCTCAACCTCGGCAAATTTAAGAGGTGTGGGCTTCAACTCAGTGCTGACTGGAGAATTCTGGGAGCTCCACACAACTTAAAAGTAGCTGGGATTGAGAAACGTTGTAGTCTTAACAGAATGCTTGTGTCGGATTTGTGAGCGCCAACGGGATCTGCAGTAAGTTCTCCTTATTTATTTCATTCCAAATGTTAACTGGCCTGTAGCAACTTCTACTCAAGTCAACAGGAAAGTTCAAAAAGCATGCACAGAAGGATTGTCTGTCGAAGAGTCATAGACTAGGCTTAATTTTTGTCCTTTGTTCTGGGTATTTCTAACTGCAGAGTTCTTCATTGATGGCCTGGGTATTCTGCATGTTGGTTCCTGCTCCAATGTTGTGGTAGACCATGCCTCTAAGATCAAGCTACCGTGGCTAAAATCGGTAAAGGAGAAGCAATATGCCAAGTTCCGCTATCCCAACCTAACAGATGGCTTGATGACCTCCAGACAAAAAATGCTCTACTTCAAGAACTATTTCAAATGCATGACAGGCAATTAGTCTTTAGTGAGAGGGTGCTGAGCCCCAACCTTGACAACTGGCTCAGCCCTCAAGTGACTTGGGTCTCAGACAGCCTGCTCTGGCAGCTAGCCACAGCTCTTGGCAAACAAGCTTGCCTGTCTACTAGCCAAATGCCCAGAACTCAGGGAGGCTTCAACACTCTCAGGTCTGAAGAGCAACTTGAGAAATGAGCTCCATGCTGCTTAAAAAACAAAAAACCTGTGTTCTAACAGAATTAATTGGACAAGCCATCTTCCAGACCTTGTTGATGAAAGGAGGATGTTGTCTGCTTGTCATTTTGTCACTCTGTTTCACTTATTTTGCATCTGAACTGAACCAGATTCTACGGGGAGTGATTCTGGAAGAGGCTGCCCCATGAAGCCTGGATGTTTTCACCTCTCCTGGCTGAGAGCAGCCAACTGCTTCTGTTACATTGGACTCCCCTTCCAACTTTGGGCTAGCACATACCTATAGGTCACGTCAAAAACTTGCAGTCTCTGGCAATGTCCCAGCATCCTTTACCTCCAATTAATTTAAACTACAGAAGGGGACAGGATCGGAGGTGGATAAACCTGAATACTGGGACTTTCTCCAGCATCACAGTTTTTGTGCCAAGGTTTCGAAGTTGAGCCTCTCTGTCCCCAGCTCCCTCCAACCTCAAAGTGACAAATGTTCTGGGATATTTTGAAGTGCCAAAGACTAATGATGGAAAGCCACCACCAGAGGGAAGCCTTGAGGTGTGCATTGCAGCAAAGCAGCCTTGAAAGGCCACAGATTTATCAGGTGCATTCCAGATTGGAGGCACTCCCAGGCTTACAGCAAAAATGGCCTGATATGCATGGACATTGGAGGGTGGACCAGCTTATTTTCTATGGTGATAATGTTGTTGTTTTTTTTTACAGTGAATTAGAAAGACTGTCCATGACAGATTGCCATTTTTTTTAATTATTATTATTATTATTATTTTAGACAGAATCCATTTCCAAAGCTTCTTCTCATTCCTTAAACTTCTCCATCCCAGATCTCTGGCTTTTTAGTTCCAACCATGGAACCTTCTGCACCACTGTTTTTCCTAAAACTATGATTTATTAGGGAGGTTTTAGAAAAACAGCACAAATCAAGGCTGGGGAAAGATTCTGCACAATAGTTCCATTGCATGGGGTTTGGCTCATAGCATCCGTAACCCAAGAGGTTGTAACCACTCAGGCTCCATTCTTCCTTCTGCCTATTTGTGTCCTTCTTCCTGGCAGCTGGGCTGCCGAATTCATTGAGATAAAAGTATCCAAGTACCAGCCTAACAGGTTAAGATACGTGTGCATTTTTAGCATAGGGAGTGACAAAAACCAGAGACGTAGGGTAGATTTCAAAATCTCTGTAGCACGAGTGTTATAGGAATTCATACAGACTGTTGTTCCTTGCTGCAAAAGGACAAACTCTTCTTTCCTCCGAGTTGCTAGAATCTCAGTGGTTCTCAACCTGTGGGTCGGGACCCCATTTGGGGTCGATCGACCATTTCATGGGGGTCACCAAGCAAGGCTGTCCGCCATTTTTTTTGTCCGCCATTTTTTTTTCCTTTTCCAGCGGGTGCCTTACCTCCCTTGGGCTGGGCCAGCTGGTGGTTGGCCTGCTCCATCTCTGCCGCTTGCCAGCTACGCCTCGGCCGGTGCCGGGGGGCGGAACCACGCATGTGCGGCTCTCCCGGGCAGGGAAAGTCCTCGATTTATGACCGGTTGGGTAGTCCTCGACTTACGACTGGTTTAGTCCTCGACTTATGACCGGTTTAGTCCTCGACTTACGACTGGTTTAGTCCTCGACTTACGACCGGTTGGGGTCGCGGCATTAAAAAGGTTGAGAACCACTGTGCTAGATGAACATTTTAAAAATAAAGGACTGTGTAGGATATGCTTATTGGACATAAGATATGGATTGAGTATGGCCTAGGAAACCATAAGTACTGCAGCAGTCGCGTTCATGCTTATATGGGAATAAGCTGCACTAAGCACAATAAGACTTGTAAGTACTATTTTATTTGGAATTAAGTCCTGCTCACACCACCAGAACAAGGCAGCAATAAATTAAGTACACATAAAAGCTTTTAAAAAATGGCACTGCATTTTGACACTCCCCACCCCCATCCCACCCTCACCCCGCCAGTAAGTAGGAAAGAAATTCCACGTGATAATGAAGTGGTTGCTCCCCTGCCTGAAATGCTGATTTTGATTAAAAAAAAAAGTTCAAAAGCTTGCTTATTTACATATTTATTGTTCAAGGATGGTTGCATAATCAGCATCCAACTATGAGCTGGTGCTGTCCAGGAAAACCTTAGCTACAGTACTTGATGCTGCTGAGGGTATAAAATGAGTCTATGGAGATTCTCAGTCAATCCGGGTCGTGGTTGTCCCAAAGGTGCTTTTTCAGGAGGCAACTTGTTTTTTTTCTTTATAGACGTTTCACTTCGCCTCCGAGAAGCTTCTTCAGCTCTAATATTGTGCATACTCCAAAAACGTGAATCAATTCATTAACTATGTTTAGCATTTGGTCCTACCGGTTCCAACAGCAATTCTGATCTGAGAGGATCTCTCTGGCAAGGAAAAGAAAAAAAGGAGGTGCCCCAGTATAAAAGAGTACTTTGACGGAATTGGCTTCCTTTCTTTTCTGGCAATCAAGCTTTTCTATCATTCCCATTGAGCATTATTTCCTAGGTTGAAACCCTCTCTTCCTTTTGGCCTCCATCATCCTGTGATGACTTCAATTTCTGTTTCCAGGAAAGTAATAAAAGATTTTTTTTTAAATTAATACAATTTTGTTTGCTGCTGTGCTCTAAACTTTTCTGGTAAGGGTTCAAGAAGAAAGGAACCAAGAAAGGTGAGTGCACGTAGCAGCCCTGACACTGCAGTTGTGGACTTCTTCAGACTATGTAGCCCATGGAAGTTGTAGCAGGAGGAAGAACAGCTGAATCTAAGAGCCTGGCTCTTCTTGCCAGTCTGCTCTTTCCTTGACAATCCAACTTTCCAATAGTAGGAGAAACGTCGTCTCGTAGGCAGTCTGCTGCCTTTCCCAAATCTCTGGGACCTCGGGTGGCTTTGTCCTGGTAGATCTTATTGTCTTTTACCCTTGGCAGGAAGAAAAGTTATACCCAGATGGTAGGATCCTTCTGTTCCATGTTTTCCTGAGCAAAAACCAAATAGAGTTATCCATGAGGCACTATGCCGTGTATAAAAAAAGCTACTATATACCTTCCCAGCTCGTGTTACCTGTTAACCTCTGTGCCTCAAGCCCATGCAGAGAGGTGCAGAGATTCCCCCAGTGGATGGCAATCACTGCTAAGGGTAGCAAATGGATTCTGATGATGATCTGAACTTTCTACATCTGTAAATAATGATTGTAATACAGGTTTTTTTTCCCAATCTGGTACCTGCTTTTTTAGCTAACCTACATCTTCCATCAGTTCCAGCCAATGTGGCCATTGAGTGGGGTAAGGGCAAAACATCAGCTGCACATTAAGTTGGAGAAAGTTGTTTTAAGAGATCTGAATTAGAAAATTCCCTGAAGGACAATGTTCTGGTAGTTTTTAGTTAGAAAGGAAATGGACGGATAAAGTTCTTGCCTTACCTAAAAGGGCTTCAGATAGGAGCATGCACCTGGAACTTCCCCTTGAAGAAGGATAATGTGACACCTAATTTCCTGATTAATCCTCTGTTTCTGCACAGGCTTCTGTTCTCACTTGGATATTTTTTTAAAAAATCTCTAAAATTGTATTAGCCATTGAAAATAACCAGTAAAGCCCGCATTGAAAAAGTAAAGACCTACTTCTAAATAGCCTCTCAAGGAGCAAATCTGGCTAGTTCACCAGAACTGTGGGGTGGGGGTGAAAATTGATTCAAGTAAAACTGCTGCCATTAAATACAGACTCCAAATAATTTTCTACATTTGACTATAAGATTCAGGCTAAATTGCTTGTATCTACAGATGTATCTCCTGGGTGGGACATTAAATGACAGTCATGTGCTGTTTGAGAACTGGGCTACAGGTGCCAGGCCATGCTCCCCTTCCTCCCCCATGCCCCATACAACAGCCTGAACATTTCTGTGCCAATTCTCAGTGATCCAGGTCATGGTTGTCTCACAGGTCCTTTTTCCAAGAGGCAACTGGCCTCTCTTGTTTTTCTTTGTATCTACAGATGTATCTCCTGGGTGGGACATTAAATGACAGTCATGTGCTGTTTGAGAACTGGGCTACAGGTGCCAGGCCATGCTCCCCTTCCTCCCCCATGCCCCCATGCCCCATACAACAGCCTGAACATTTCTGTGCCAATTCTCAGTGATCCAGGTCATGGTTGTCTCACAGGTCCTTTTTCCAAGAGGCAACTGGCCTCTCTTGTTTTTCTTTGAAGACGTTTCGCTTTTCATCCCAGAAGCTTTTTCAGTCTTCAAAGAGAAACAAGAAAGGCCAGTTGCCTCTTGGAAAAGCACCTGTGAGACAACAGCCTGAACAGAAAACAAGGAGGAAAGAGGCTTGTTTTTCTGCTCTCGGACCCTTACCGTGGTTTGCTGGAGGTAGGATACAGCGTCATGAACGGTGACAAAAATCTGCTGAGGGGTTAGGTGATGCATGAGGCCACAAAAACTCAAGGTCTGTAGGACATTGGCTGGGTGGATAAGAAGAAAAGAGAAGGCACATAAGTCTCATGCCACCTTTGGGTCTGACTCGCATGTACACAGCAGCGGTCCCTTCCTACTTCCACAACACAACAGAATCTGTATATTACTCTGAGCCACGAATCATGGGATCTTGAAAAAAAATCTGATACTGTAATTATATGGATGAGTAAACTAGTACTTCAGATCAAGTACTTCAGCATCACCGCTCTTTCCAAGGCCCAATCTCTCATAAGCCAGTTGGAAACAACTTGAGCTTATTGTTGTTCCAGTGTTCTGTTCAGAAAAGCTGAGGGGGGCAGTGAGAACTCCCTGTTGCATGTCAGCTATCAAGAACCCCTTCTCCTCCACATGAAGTAATAGGGAAGCTGACAGGAAATGAGAAGTTGCAATCACATGGCCTCCTTCCTTAACAACAGCAACTAAGATGCTAGGATTGTGATCGCTATGTGATGTCACATGTCATGCATTGTGACTGCTGTGCTTAGCGATAGCACATCCTGTCCCAAGTGCCATTTTAAGCCAAGATCTGCTTGTAGAATGAACGTAAGGACAGAGAGGAAATAACAAATGCAGCTTCACCACTTCCATATGTGCATCATGATGTTGCTTGAGCATATAAAAGGGACAGAGCTTGCTTTGCAGTGGCATGTGGTGCTGCTTGTTTCACGTTTGACAGAAGCATCAGATTTCTGAGCCCTACTGAAGTGAAACTGATTGTTCGGGTGGTCTTACAATGTTTATTTTAAAAGGCCATAAAGAGAGGGAGGGGAGATTCAACATATGTAGACCACAGACCTAGTGATGGACATCTACCACATGACACCCTCCTCCAAAACAGGTGTCTATGGATCTTGGTTTGAATCACCCATAACAATCACAATGGCTGGTTTTTTAAAAAATATATATAATAAAATGATGCATTCAATCAAGCAACCATCAGCTCATCTCCTTGTCTTTGATGCCAAGTTAGGTGACTTGTTGGAAACACCCTATGCCATGGATTTCTGGGTCTGCATCAGATAAGTTAGTTCCATCACCCATTCTCCTTTGTATGTGAGAATCTATCCATGCAGGAAATGTACAGGATGTCTCTTGTACATGTACGTCTTGGATTTCCCATTGAGGGAATTGACAGTAGTCCACTTGATTTTGCTTTTAAGGAACAAGTGAAGTGGGCCAATCACACCAATTAAAAAAATGTATACTCTTTCCTGATGAAATAGACAACTTCTTAACTTTTAGGGGTTTTTTTGGGGGGGGGGAGGAAAGTAAATTAGGGTAGCTTTTTCCTACATACTATCTTTGAATTAAAGGTCCCATAATGGATTCCAACTAGAGACCGTTGAAGTTCTAGTCTAATGCCTCTGAAGGCCATCAGGCTGAGGAACAGTGAACTAAAATAATAGGAAGATTGATGGCACTTCTTACTTCACTCACCATTACAGGCAGACAAATGTATCTGAATGCCGGCTTTTTGACATTCCACACACACCTAAAAGGCAAGGAAACATTTGTAAAGAAGCTTACGTGGGGTTTTTCAGCCATTGCAGGTATACTGTAGCACCAATCTAATGGCCAAGATCCTGATGCACAATGATCTTTTATTAATTTTGGCACAAGGAGGTGACATCGTTTGTGTTCCACCCCATGGTCTATTATAAGTAGTCTGTTATACTGGGGGCAGCTGTTTTTCCAATTCAGTATAAATAGGCATGACTCTAGTTCATTTGTTAATATCACATTTTAAAAACAACCCATTTAGGCCCTGGTGGATTATAATTCTTCTCAAAGGACAGTTTAAAGGGGAGAAGAACATTATTTAAACTGACCCAATGCAATATAGATGAGTGAGGAAATGCTGTCTGGAGTGAGAAGCTAATGGCTTCTTTAAAAAAAATATCATTTCACTGTAATGTAATAATGTGGAAAATCATGCTCTAATTCTGCATGTTTGTGGGCTCAATGTGTTTGCAGACAAAACCCTGACTATTGACCAGATCCTTACCTCATCTGATTTTCTATATCAGGGGTCCCCAACCCCCAGTCTATGGACCAGTACCAGGCTGCAGTATGCCAGCACTGGTCCACACAAACAAGGAAAGCCCCAACCACAGGATGCAGGCAGCACACATAAACCATGCCTCCTCCGGCCTGTGGAAAAACCTCTCTCCACCTAACTGGTTCCCTGGTTCCCAAAAGGTTGGAGACCTCTGTTCTACATCACTCAATTCAACTACTGAGATGCTGGTGCACTGCAAAGCCAAGGACCAGCCTGAAGTATTACTTTCAATTTCAAAAAGGTCTTGGTTTCTGAAAAAGATGAAAATGATGGGCAGATGCAGTTCAGAGCTGTTAGGAAAATCTGCCCACTTGCACAAAAAAAGACAAAAAGGAAATGGGTGTAGAAGGGAGCATTCTGCAGGAGAATTGCTTTAAAGTCTGGGACAAGGGGCATCCCAGGATATTGGCTTGGTAACTGGTTATATTCCCTATGGCTGCCATTTGGAGAATGGGAGAGCCCGGCCCCCACCCCGTAACAGTTATTGTCTAGGAGTACTGACAGCATGTTCTCAAAACTTCTGTCGACTTATAATTACAACTCCAGATGTGTCCATCAGCCAAATGTCCAAGGCTCCCAATGTAACAGAACTTCTGTTGATTTTAGAGTCAACTGCAAGTCTTCTATACTTGCAGCTGAACTCAAACCAAAAAGCTCAGGGCAAATATGGAGTTTAGTTGTTGAGCAGTGACCCAGAACTACCAACAATGGGGAGTCCATGTTTCTATTCAAGAGGTCCCTCTGATTTGACTGGACCTCTGGCCAAAGGAATTTGTATCTTCTCTAGCAGTCTCTAGCTCTAGAAGAACTGATGAACAGAATGAAATAGAATGGAACAGAATGGAACGCATTTGGGGAGGGCCAGAAAAAGAAAGGGCAGCCTTGTCCACTTTTGATCAGAGCCCATCTGTCCCTTTTACTCAGCCTGTGACAGAATGTCCTAGGTCAGAGACCCCCAACCTTTTGGGCACCAGGGACCGGTTCTGTTGAGAAAGGTTTTTCTGTGGACTGGAGAGTGTGTGGTTTTGTGTGCTGCCTGCATCCCACTGATGGGACTTTGCTTGTTTGTGCGGACTGTTTGTGGGCATGCCGTGGCCCATTACCGGTCTACAGACCGGGGGTTGGGGACCCCTGCCTTAGGTGGATCTGATTTTGGTGAAAAAGGATTCCTCTTTAAAGAATGAGAATCATGAATCGCTCCAGGATCAAAAAATAAATAAAACCCAACTTGCAGGCAGTATCAATCCTGCCCTCCTCAAAAAGTCTGAACTATCAAGAGATCAGGAAATCTCAAGGTATTTCAGGGATTGCAACATAGTGAACTCCCACAGGGTCAGGTGAGATTCTAGCCATCTTAAAATTTAAAAATATCTGTACTTTTCAGGATCAGAATCAATCTTTATTACGGTCACAGATCAGCACAAAAGTTAAACATTAAAATAAATACATTCTCTAGACATTTTTGGAAAATGACTAAGCAAGGTAGCTGATATGAATAAAGATCTTTAGTTCTTTAGGTCTTTTTTCCTTATTATCATTGCAGCAGCACAAAATTTTGCTACTGCACGAGTGGTGTTTGGATTTGAATCCTGAAGGAGATGGTTCACATACAGTAGAAGTTATCTCCCTAGAAATCTCTCTAATAGAGGAAAAAATACACCTTGATCTGATGTCCCTGTAGAACTTGTAGTGCAATTGGACATGTGAGATATTTTCAGCTTCCCCACTGCCACATGTATACATTTGCTCAGCTATGGGGTTTTATCATCCCTGTCCTGCAGGAGTGCTGAAGGGAGGATATTAAGTCTGGCTCTAAAAAAGGCTATTCTACCCTTAGGAAAAGTTAGGTCTTTCAGATACCTTGCTGGTTCCCACACACCCCATTTAATCTGATTTCTGCTGTAGAGAGATAACCTGTTAAGTTCTAGCTCCGTAGTGGCGAACCTATGGCACACGTGCCGCAGGTGGCACGCAGAGCCCTCTCTGTGGGCTTGCGCACCATTGCCCCAATCCTAGGCCTTCAGCTGGGTTTTATAAAACCTTTTTGCTTTAGGCCTCCGCCGCCGTGTGCAAAAAAAAAAAAAAGGTTCAATCAATCAGTCAATTTCAACTTCTCGCGGGGAAAAAAAAGATTTTGCAAAGTTGGAATTGATTGATTGAACTTTTTAGTCCCACCCAGTCTGCCATTATCACCACAGCCATACCCACCCAATGGGCCACGCCAACCCAATGGGCCACACCCACTCAATGGACCACGCCCACCCAGCACCCAACGATACATAAGTGGGCTTTGGGTTGCAGTTTGGGCACTCGGTCTCTAAAAGGTTCGCCATCACTGTTCTAGCTGAAACTCCACCTCTCTTATTCTATTGGTAACCACTTGCTTGGCTTGATCGTAGTTTAGGGATATTGAAAACGGGGGAAGGTCCATAGAAGGCCAGTTTATGCTCTATTGCCTGTTTCCAGGGAGGGGGAAATTATCTACCAGAACCAAAAGGAGTCAAACCCTCTGGGAAGAATTGAATTTTCAACCAGTAAATTATCATCATCTTCCAGGCCCTTACCTCAATTCGAGGCATTCCTGTCTCAATTCTCAGCTGGGAGTTTGATGTCCCACTAGGTGCAGCTAAAATGGATCTCAGGAATTTTGTTTCTAAAGACTCCTTCTTCAAAAAATAATTCCTTTTGTGCCCCCATTGACAGTGTCTGCATCAGTGTTTTAGCCTTAAAGAGTTTTAAAGCTGCAGGGACTAATTGTCCTCTGTCTGTGTAAAAAAAGCATTTGATAGCATTTGAGGATCTAAGGGTTGATTGAATTGTGTGGTCCAGATGTGCCTTTCAAATACCTTTCATATGGAACAACACCCCAAGGTACTTGAATGTATTGACCTGTTCTAATCTAGATTGTGTCCTTCTACCTTCCAAAAGTATTGAATAGCTCTTTTAGGAAAAACTAGGATGTTCAATTTTTTGAAATTGAGGATCAGATTATTTTGTCTACAGTATTTTAATGTTGCTGAAATAGCTCTCTTGAGTCCAATAGGGGTTTGTGAAATAATAGCGGCATCATCAGCATACAGAAGTATTGGTATTTTCAATTGTGCTAAGTTGGGAGGAGGGAAGTCTGGGTTAAGCAGAATATCAATCAAGGAATTAATATAAAGATTGAAAAGGGAAGGGGCCAAGATACGTCTGTACTTTTAAATTTTGGAGATCAGCAAGTACTGTTCTGAGTGTGGTAGATCCCTTGGGCTCCAGTTAAGGAAAGTTCATCTGGAGACATATTCTGAGTTTTAATCTTGATTTAATTTCAACATTCACTGATTTTGACGCTTGTACTTCTCCAGCCTTACTATTTTTCAATCCTTATTCCCCACTACACAGACACAAACACACATATTTGTCTTTTGATACCTGGATAAGGAGCCGTGCGCCAGATGAATCCACAAAGGATATTCCACTGCAGTCAAAAATCACAGCCTGTACATCTAAGCCTATATAAGCAGATAAGACAGAACCCATATCAACCACACTCAACCACTGCAGCGCCACAGATTCAGCCTAACAGCTGCCATATGCTACCCTGCACTTGTCCAGGAACACTTTGTTCTCTAGATGGTTTTGCACCAGCAAAGACTAAAATGAAATTCTGGACCCATGCATACATTTCTTCTGTAAAACAGCCGGCATAGAAGAGAATTATCCTAACAAACCATGTCTAATAACTGAATACAAGCACAAAGAGAGTTCAGCCTAGTATTCCCACATGGGATGGACTTCAATTGCCATAACCCCCAGCTGGATAGGGATTGAAATTCAACAACTCTGGAGGCATAAAATTAGGGATTTTCCACCATGGGGTTTAACATGTATATTTACACAAGGAAATTGCCCAAGAACAAAATGGAATTAACCTTTGATTACCTGAGCTAAGCTTCTTTTCCAAGACACAAACGGTGCTGTCCTAAAGAAAAAGGGGAAAACCCAACAATTAATTTCTATTTACAAACTGAAAGAATTGACCTATGCCATTTTACATCTAATAGGGCAGGGGTCTTCAAACTTGGCCCTTTTATGACTTGTAGACTTCAACTCCCAGAACTCCTCAGCCAGCGTGCCTGGCTGAGGAATTCTGAGAGTTGAAGTCCACAAATCATAAAAGGGCCAAGTTTGAAGACCCCTGTAATAGTGGGTCAGAGACAGTTATTCATATGATGTGACTGTTTTCCACCAAGGATCTTTTGAACATTGTTGGGTGGGAATCTCGTTATCATAGAAAACCACCCCCCCCCCATATTCAGTTTAACTAGAGCAGCTGCTTTGACTTACCCCGCAGGGTGAAAAATAGCAACATCTTGACTTATACCCCACTTAGATCTCCACATATATAAGAGCTACTGTACAGAATTCACTCTCTTATAATTGAGTAAATGTGCCCACAATTCTGTAATCAAAACCCATCCCTTTTTACATATGTCATAATGCATGTAGAAAGAGTGGGGGTTGGCCACCATTTTGATTTTTTTTCACCACCTGAAAGTACCCCTGACTCTCTGGCTGTTCCTCTGGGCTGGATGGCAGAACTGCCCATGGTGTACAACCAGTTCTAAGCACCAGAATCAATCTAGTTGTCTCAGATGAGACAGAAGACATTGTAATGTGTGTTTGCTTTTTAATAACAATTATAATCCAATACAGTCTTGACAAAAGAAGCTTAGCATCAGCCTTAAAATGATATCAATAAAAGTCATTAATAAATATTATGGACCTCTTAAATCTAATCTAATCTAATCTAATCTAATCTAATCTATCTGAATGCAGATGGAATAAAAGCACTTTAGCTTAACATCATCAGGCTTGAGGTCATCCAAAACTCCAGGATCAGGTATTCAGTTTTTAAAAAAGAGCTTAAAATAATATCTCTTCCTTTAGCTAACTTTTACTTCCATGAGCATTTCACCACCTGGCTGGAGTAACATATGGGTGAACTTGATTTTTTTTAAACTGAACTCACAATACTTGGTCTCCCCACTATCACTCCAATCTTTTACCAGGAGTCTTACCACTGTAGTGATGTCCATTTTTATCCTGCTGTTAAACGGTGGATCCTCAGACTGTTTGCAGTCTTGCTGCAGCCCCACAAGTTTGCTGACAATATCTCTAAAAAAGCTGCGGTTTCCATAATAGATGGGGGCCTGGTAACTTAAGATCTTCACACCTGGGATCTCAAAGCACTAAGAAGAAGAAACAGAACAAATGGAATAGAAGCACAGAATCATAGAATGTATGAATACATGTTCACTGGGTTTGGGAAAGGGTTATGGCAGACTTCCCCAGTCTGACACCTACCAAATAATTTAGGTTACAAATCCCATCATCCATAGACAACTGTGAGCAGGGAGCTACCCACAGGAATGAATGAAGAGAAATTGGAGGATATAACCCAACATTTCTAAAGGGTACAAATTGTAGGGAATTAATAATTGCCATGTTGTGCAAATTAATTAATTAATGCAAATTAATCTTGGCTGGGCATGTCAGGCGAGGAAATTCACTGAAGAAAGCATGTATATTGGGAAGAATTAGTGATAAAAGAAAACCAGGCCACCAATGAAAATGATAGCTGGACACCATCAAAGCTGACACCAGTCAGAGCATAGAAAAACTCAAAGAAGCAGTGCAAGATTGGAAGATGTGAAGAGACCTGGCCCGCACAATCACCAAGAATTGGACATGATTAAATGGATAACATCGTCATCATCAATCTTTGCTATACTCCTATTACAGACTAGATTTCAGAGTCTCCACTGTAGCACAAGCATCCTTCTTCCTTAAAAATTAAATGTTCTTGTTAAGTTCTATGCAATAAAATTACATTTCTAGAAAATCTCTGAACTTCTAGAATTAGAACATTATAACAACCTGTTCTCATTCAAAGAGAGTTTTCCCCCCTTCATTAAGAATAAAACAACCTCATCTTGTTCCCAAAGCAAGATGATCCTATATTAAGGCAGCCTCTACACATATCAGCACAGGAATTAGTCCTGTTGAGTTCAAAGAGACTTTCTCCCAGCCAGGTAAGTAGGAACAATTTCCACCACTTTTTACCTTGCTGTTGTACTTGACGGGCTTGTAGATTTCCGTATCCGCTGCTCGGCCCAGCACAGAGCATTCAGCCCTGTAAAATAAATAAATAAATAAATAAATAAATAAATAAATAAATAAATAAATAAATAAATAAATAAATAAATAAATAAATAAATAAATAAATAAATAAATAAATAAATAAAAATAAATATAAATATAAATAAATATAAATAAATATAAATAAATATAAATATATAAATATAAATAACGAGAGATAAAAAACGTGAACACCAGGAAAAGTTTAAAAAACTATAAAAGTTTTAATAAGTTAAAATCCTAGCTTTTGCTGGCCACTGCCAGCATCATCAGGGATCAATCTAGGTCAATGGGAGCGCTTATTTACATGACCAAGCTGTTTCAGCGCCCAACCCATGGATGCCGTCATGGGGCTCAGTCGGCCAATTGATGTTCCGGTCGCAGTCTCCATATCATTAGCCGGTTTATCCTCGCTACTCTTATCCTCATACACCTTATTGCTCACTTTCCTCCCCCCCCCCTCTTTTCCGTGTTCCTATGCTAGCTTCATACTCTGCCTTGCTAAGCGAGGATAAACTGGCTAATGATATGGAGACTGCGACCGGAACATCAATTGGCCGACTGAGCCCCATGACGGCATCCATGGGTTGGGCACTGAAACAGCTTGGTCATGTATAAATAAGTGCTCCCATTGACCTAGATTGATCCCTGATGATGCTGGCAGTGGCCAGCAAAAGCTAGGATTTTAACTTATTAAAACTTTTATAGTTTTTTAAACTTTTCCTGGTGTTCACGTTTTTTATCTCTCATTATGAGTACACCCAGGAATCATTCTTTTATTTTTAGTACTGTTTTTAATAAATATAAATAAATAAATAAATACAGAGTAAAGTAGATAGATAGCCTTTATTGTCATTTTTTACTGTGGGCAAACTGGCACACATTAAAAATGAAATTCTGTTGCCTGCTCTCAAAACAGTGTACATATAAACATGCTATGTACAACATATGTATAGAATAGCCTTTGCCCAAGAAACATGCAGATAATATTTTGGTGGCCATTGGGGACAAGGAAGAGATAGCATTTCAAAAGGATATAGTCTTAAAGGACAATCTGCATATTTACATGGATGTTTGGAAACCAAGGAGGACTTAGCCTAGGCCAGTGGTGGCAAACCTATGGCACGGGTGCCAGAGGCGGCATTCAGAGCCCTCTCTGTGGGCATGCGCGCCATCGCCCCAGTCCTAGGCCTTCAGCTGGGTTTTATAAAACCTTTTCGCATTAGGCCTCCGCCACCGTGTGCAAAAAAAAAAAAAGGTTCAATCAGTCAATTTCAACTTCTCGTGGGAAAAAAAAAAGATCTTGCAAAGTTGGAATTGATTGATTGAACTTTTTAGTCCCACCCAGTCTGCCGTTACCACGGCAGCCATGCCCACCCAATTGGCCACGCCCACCCAATGGGCCACACCCACCTGGCACTCAATGATGCATAAGTGGGTTTTGGGTTGCAGTTTGGGCACTCAGTCTCTAAAAGGTTCGCCATCACTGGCCTAGGCCTATGGTTGACGACAAGAAGTGGGGCAGAAAATCCGCCTTAATTATTATGATTCCCTTTCAAGAATGATCTTTTTGGCACACTTAACAAGAGGATTTTGCATCCCAACAGCTGGGCTTTAATTTAGCATTCAGCAAGAGAATGTAGCAAAGGAAGGACCACTACTATGAAGTTACCTCTGTGTGCGGCATACAACAGTCATCATGGAGAACACAACTCCCACTGCCAGGCCAAAGTCCACACTAAGCACAACCACGGAAAGCCACGTGACCATCCACACAGCCTGTAAGAGAATTGAAAAGACAATAATAGAGCCACCCAATTCCAAACCAGCACAGAAAGTTCCAAGGGTTTCAGTGGAGACCATCCCATTCCAGCTTATCACAGCTTTAAATTAGGAAGTGTCTTCACACCTTATAAGTTAAAAGAATGGCAAAATAACAAATGCAGTTTAATAACAAGAGCAATAATAGATTCCAAATGCACATGCTGAGCACCTATATAACAGTTATAGGAGAAGGAACATCTACAGTATAAGGCTTCATGCTAGATGTCAAGAGATTCCCAGATGTTATTGCCACTTACGAAGTCCACATGGCTGATCCTCCACAACTCAGGTAAGTCCCGGAACTGCAGAAACATCTGTCGAAGACTGGTGACATTGATACAAGCTAGGACAGCCTGACATGAGAAAAGAAATCAGGAATCACATAAAGAGACCCTGTCTTTTCAAAACAGGTCAAGATTGACTAGTGGGATGGACCTGTCCTCTCTTGCTCAAATCTCATTTCTCCTCTTTTACCTGAAAAAAAATCCTCCTTCCCAATCCCATCCAGGGTCTTCTTGGTGCAGCAATTTCCTCCTACATTAATAAGTTGCTACCACCAAGTACGAATTGTGGGTTTGGTCCTTCCTAGGA